ATGGGCCGACTTGTAGCATGGAGGAGATGTTTTATAGTAAAGGTTAAAGGGAAAAAACCTACTAATTTCTAAACGTGATCTCCAGCCTCTCCGTGAAGGGTCAGATTGCTAGGTGAGCACGTTGCTCCTGCACACCTGACATGCTTCTCATTTCAAAAGCAAATAAACTAACCAACAACCTGCCTGCTTCCTTGGCTACCAGGAATCAGAATCAACCTAAAAAAGTGTCAAGCCTCCTTTGAACAACCAGACCACCAGTTGTAAAGACTGCAGAAAAGCGGTGCAAGACTTTCTTAGCCAAAAACATGGTCATGATCTATTACCTCGAGTATATTCCAGAGAAATGCAAAGTGGAAAAAATGAAACAAATTGATTCTCCAATTCCCATTCGTGGTGTCCTTTTGTTGTTGTTACTCCTCACCTGAGGATATTTTTTCCATCGCTTTTCAGAGAGAGTGGGTGGGAGGGGAAGAGGGGGAGGGAGTGAGAGAGAAACACATTGATGTGAGAGAGTGAGAAAGAAACAGAGAAATATGGATGTGAGAGGGACACATCGACTGATTGCTTCCCACACCCCTTTGAGCAGGGGCCTGAAGCGAACCCACAACAAGGTACATGCTCTTCACAGGGAATCGAACCTGTGACCCTTTGGTGGGCGGGCCAACTCTCTTAACTACTGAGCCACACTGGCCAGGGCTGGTGTCCTTTTTTTAAATGAGATTTCCCCTCACCTCTTAAAGACCATATATAATAGTGAGCATCGGCTCTAAAGAATTAGAGCCAGTTTGAAGAAAATACACAGGACTGCAGCCTATTTCACCAAAAAAAAAATCTTTCATTAACTAACATTGATGGAAGCACATTTAGCCAGAGCGATCTGCATGGCAGTTGAATTGCTGTTTGTATTGAACAGCAAACCAGAGAGTAATAAAGCAAAACACGGACATGCCAGTGGTGAGCAAGGGAGCAGAGCGGCCCTTTAGCTTCTCCATGCTGATCATTTGTTCTAAAGTCGGTCAGCAACAAACAACAAGATTGCTCATTATAGCAAGGGGCACCGATCACACTCGGTTGTCAAAGCATCATGTCACTTCAGTTGTCCAGAGGTTTCATCTGTGTTCTCTCATCTTCCGTCTGCCTGCAGTAGAGCAGTTGCTTCCCAGCAATGCCCAGTAGCCGTATTTCATCTGCACAGGTTACTAACTGTTCATCATTCCAAACGCGTGTGCTTGAACAGTGCCCTAACTCTAGTGAGCAATTGCACAGAGTAGTGATATAGACAGAGAAGGCAATTTGGGGAAAGTAAGTTAAGTAGAAAAGGTAGAGAAATAGTAGTTAAGGAGGGTATGGATATAAAGACCTTGAAGCCGGTTGTTGACATCAGAGAACTAAAGGAAGCGAGAGGAATACAAACGTGCATTTTTTAGAAAAACAGTATGGAAGAGGTACAATTAGGTACTGAGTGGCACAAATGAGAGCATGATGTGATAAAAAAGGGCAGGAAGATAGGGGAGCAAAGCTCTGGCTGTGGCTCTAGCACCAGCTAGGTATCTCAGGCAAACCATCTGCTTTCTTTGCGCCTCATGTCTTTATCTATTTGTTGTAGAATGAAACATTTCACTGTAGAATAGAAAGTCCTTGCCTACCCTTAAGTTGTCTAAGTTTCTGAATAGAGATAAAAAGCTTCAATAATACCCATCCCCATAGACTTTTAAAAATGACAGCAATCCTACTAAAGCTAATTTAAGTAAAAGAAAATAAAGTCTAAGAGTTAAGTGTGCTCCAGACAGGGGTGATCTTGTCCTCAGACAGCTCTCTCTGTCTCTGGGCTCTGCTACTTCTTCGCCAGCTTCATTATTGTACTGGTTTCTTTTACATCGTAGGAAATACAGGCTGATAAAGCTTGCAGCTTCTGCAGGGGAGGGATTCTCTCTCAGTATCCAGGTTAGTACCTTAAACGGGAGTCCTGCTGCCGTTCTTAGTGTATGTGCCCCGGGAGGTCAGGTGCTCTGACTGGCCAGCCGGGATCCTGACCTGCTTCTGTGGCAGAAGAGCTCAGCTGGGCCCTTGACTGAACCTTTCACAGAAATCACATGAGGAACAGGAACAGGACGTTCTCACAGGGAAGGGATGTGGCAAAGAGAAAAAACAGAAGCAGATGCCCACTTCTACTCTTGGTGAAAGCTAGGATGGAGGTGGGTGGGGGTGAGCAGAAGGGGGTTCTGTATTTTAAATGCCAGCCGTAAGGATTCTTTTGAGGATTGAATTCTTTTTAAGGATTGTTATTGGTCAGCCATCCAAAATCAAGCACTGCTATTGGTGTCAGCTTTGTTGGAAGAGCAGCATGACCTTTATGTATTTGGAGAAAACTGGGAACGTAGTTTTTTAATTGCGGTTATTCTATGAAGCTCTGAGGGTGAACTGAACTCCCACCTATATTTTATCAGATGTGTGGGTTGAGTTTGGCGCTGTGAGTCAGTATCCGTTGTCTGTCTAGTACGTCTTAGCTAACGCGTGTGATGTTTGCCTTATTACGTTGAACGACAAATAAGATCAGTTTCCTTTAATGGGTGCTGGGCCCCTCTGTCCATCACTCCAGTACCATTACACAGTGCAGTTCATTACAGGGCCCAGCTTTGAGAAACCCCTAATATCTGTAAGTAGTGCAACGCAATGGCTCCATCACATAGGAGCAGAGTGGTGATCTTACATCTCACAGACATTGAAGAGAGTTGTGTTGAAGGAAGAGTTTACTGAAACCAGTGAGTAGGCATCTTGTTTTTGCCTGTCCACCCTTCTTGCTTCTGGTAGCAGAACGCTGAGTTTGCACTTGGAAACTCCTTTCTGTTCTTCATCCCCTCCTGCTGAGGTTGTCAGTGAAAGCACTTGATGCTTTCCCCCGGCTGAGCAGTAGGCAAGAGAGCTAAGCTAGGCTCGCTGGCTCTTCTCCTTATGGAATTTCATTTTGAGGGGAGGGACACAAAGATGAGAGGCACCCAGGATAAAATGCCCGTTAGCTCAGCTCCCTGCATGCCTACCCACCCAGGCCAATGGTTATTCTCCCCGGAGTCTGGATCCTTTTTCCCCATATCTCTGTTACTCCTCCAGCTTTCCAATAAACTCTAAATGCTTGTTGTTCAGTTAGCAGCTGGTTGCTATCTATGAGCAGGCACAAGGCACCAAACAATCTCCAAATTCCGTTTAAGGTCACAATTCTGTGAGTTGGAGCTGGCACTGGGCTCCCGCCTGTGTCATCTGTGGTCATCTTCAGTTCAGCTGGGCAGCTCAGCTTCTGGGCACTTGCTGGCTGCTGGTGGGAGCAACCTGCAGAGTTTCAGGGGTGGGAAGAGTCTTGGACTATGTCTCTTGTCATCTCAGCAAGCTGGACTGGGCTTGTTCAGATGATAGTGACAGGGTTTCAAGTGGAAAAGTGAAAATGTGTAAGGCCTCTTGAACCCTCAACGCAGATTGGCACAGAGTTGCTTTTGCTCTTCACCAAATCAGTCAGGATGCAGCCTAGATGCCCGATGGGGAAAGTCGTGCTTGTGACCCCTTGATGGAAGTAGCTACAGTGTCACAATGCAAAGAGTAAGGACAGAAGAAGAGGAGTGATTGAGGGCACTCAGTCTGCCGCACCCCACGTTGGTTTCTGCACCAGATAGCTAAAGAACTTGACATGCCAACCAAAAACCCTTTAGAAACCCACCTTAATACATTTCCCTGCTCCTCTAACTTACTGACGTAACTCTGATTATGAGAGATCTGGGAGCCAAAGTCAGCTCCCCTGTGGGATACAAAGCAAAAACTACCTCATCCTTCATCCCAGTGCATTGTGTCTTGAGAGGACTGCTTGCCACTCCTATATATCTCTCTCACCTCCAGTCTCAAAGGGCCATCACCGTCAATGATAGCACCTACCAGCTCTCCTGAAGTTTCAGTGTATTGCCCACCCAGCTATGCTGTATACCAGCGTGACTTGGCTTCCCACTGTGCTATTGCTTCCTGCTGCATCTAGCATCGCACTTGCTAAAAACATTTGCATATGCCTTCCTGGGATCTATATTGAATTTCTGGAGGTTACATTTTCCTTTTATGCGGCACAGCCTCTTGGTAAGTTCTATCAATCACAGCGTAAGGCAAATGCTAATATTAATGTGCACCGCTGTAGGTGTTTATTGCCAGTTTTCATCCAAGTTCTGACTCAGCCCAGCCCTCTCTGGGTTTGTGAGATCTAATAAGATCACAGCACAGGGTGGTATAGCTGCAGGCAGAACATTCTACTTGCCAAATATATGCATATATATTTTTACAGCAGGTTCATAAATTAATGCCGGGCACCGAGACTCTGTGCCTGTGCGCAGGCATTCAGACAGAACTCTCTTCAGTGACTCCCCCCTTCCAGCCACTGATTTCTCTGAGATGGTGCCAAGCTCTTGGTCAGATGCAGCTTCAATGCGTCCCACCCTTTCAGTGTGAAATGATAATTAATGTGACTGTACGGTTAAGGTGGTGTTCTACTTCCATTAATAACTAACCCATTATTCCACGGTATTTTAATTTGCTTATAAAATTTTACTGGCTTGGAAGTTTAAGAGCAAATGGTTTGTTTCTCATTTTTCTTTCTAAAGAAAAAAAGTGTATGTTTTGTTTTTTAAGGAAAATTTTGTGTTAAAATTTGAGTTGTATGAACTGGACCAGATTTCTAAATCCTGGTGTGATTTTGGGTTTGTATCGAGTTGGTCTCACGCTCTGGTATCTCCACCAGAGTGGGACCTCCCAGGGTTTCTCAGTGAGCTTGGGTTTGGCAGGGCCCTGAGCTCTGCCACATCTCATCCGCTGGGATGAGACGGCATTTCTTTTACATTGCTTCTCACATTTAAGCATCAAATTCTGTTTCCAGGCAACAGTTTATACAAGCCAGTGACTGAATTGTGTTTGATAATAAGAGGCAACCAAATTTTACATTGCAGTTTGATGGCTATTTTACTTTCTTGTTGTAGATCTGCTGGAGGAGACCTACAGAAAAGATGAAGAAATGGAATCTCTGCAGGTAAAGTAGATTCTCCAGGAGCACAGTTGTCCTGGGGATAAAAACATTTGTGTGTTTTTATTTTGTTGGGTTTTTTTTTCTCTGTTAGCCTTTAATATTATCCCATTCAGACCACTGTGGAGTAAAAAACAAAAGGCAGAACTTTAAAACCCACATTGGAATTTGCTTCCTTCAAAAGTGTTTGAGAGTGTTTACAATCTCCTAAAGCAGGAAACCAACTCAGGTCCTGGCCAGTGTGGCTCAGTTGGCTGGAGCATCATCCCGTATTCCAGAAAGTAGCGGGTTTGATTCCCAGCTGGGGTGCGTGCAGGAGGCAACCCATTGATCTTCCTCTCTCTTTCTCTCCCCCCTCCCCCAAAATCAGTTCAAAAATAAAAAGCCAACTCTGCCTCTATGCTGCTCTTAAACGGAGCCTTGATTCCTCCGTCTACTTAATAGGAACTGTGGCATTAGGAAATGAAAGGAACATCTCTGCGAAGTCCTTTCCCCCACAGGGTTGATAAATAAGGACGAATTTGTGGAACCTGCATTCTCATGTGAAAGTCAAAAATTTCCCGACTCCATGAATGTCATCTAGCAATGACCAACCAAGAATATGAACACATATATGGCCCTTAAGACTTACCTCGTATGCCTCTCAGTTCACGATGGATTTATACACATAGCTTGGATTGGAAAATTCTGTTTGACAGTTTGCACTAGAATTTTAATTGACATTTCCATGGAATGAGCAATTGATGTTAACTTGGCGTCTGACAAAAGTTCTCCTTTTGCTTTGGGCTGGCTTAGAAATGGGTAACTCAAATGTCTGTCTTTACTAGGGGAAACATAATCAGTTATATTCATATGACAGAACCAGTCCACTTAATGTCAACGTTGTGGATTAAGAACAGTAAATACTTTGGACATTTAAAGTTCTTCTTGGGCCTGGAGATGCAAGGCAGGGCTAGAGAGTGATGTAATGAGCTGGCTTGAGTGTCGTAGAGGTAGAGATGTTTGCTTCTGGTGAATGAAGGATGGGTTAAGCAAAGCCCAAAGAGCAAGGGAAATGTTCTATAATTGGGGATTCTTCTATTTGGTACAAAATCTGTTTGGAGAAAATTGTATAACTGGTCTGAAAATGATCAGGAGTAGTATAGTTCTGTGTATCTAACAGAAATGGCTTATGTTAGCCACAATTTTGTACAGATTAAGTTCTTTAATATCTTGAGCTACATTCAGGTATAAAAAGAAAGAGCCCTGGTTGATCTAGTCTGGGGATGGGAAAAATCTCAAGAGCATACTCGCCCTGCATATCTCTGAGAAATAATTATCTGCAGTGCTGTTGTTATAAACAGCAAAGCTTCTGTGTGCACTAAATGTGTATATTGGAAAGGTAATAAAGACTTTTTGAGGCATTTTGGCTAGGCACCATCTTTGCCCTGGAATACCACATATAAACATATTTGTTGAGTATATAGTACGTATCTGGCCTTTTGAAATGGAAGCACAAACCTTTTTGAGTTTATTTCTCTCACAATATGAATATTGGAACCAGTAATCCTGTTAAATTTAATAGCCTATGATGCTTCTCAAATATTTATTAAGTACTGGCAGATTTTCTACCAAAACGTCCACCGACTGCACTAGAATGTGTCAGCCAACTAACTATGGGCATTTTTAAATGTAGGTTATCATCCAGTATGATGTCCAGCAGCAGACAAGTTCAGTGTTGGCACTTTGTAGAGGTAACTGCTGCCTAATACTAATACTGTATTCAGATCTGAGGGGAGCTGGCACTCAGAGAGCACAGGAGCAGACACCCCACAGAGACTTCCATGTCCCAGACCAGAGGAGACCTGTCAAAGGGGCCTCAGTCCCAAGTCTCCATGTTCAAATGTCAGTATCACAGGTGATAATTTGAGAAGACTATTAATGTAGGTTGAAGTCCTACAGTCACACAATAGAATTTGGGGGGAAAAAGACAAAGTAATTTAAAAAAAAAATGATAACACTAAGGACTAGAGGTTGACAACTTTGAGCTTTAAGTCTGGTCTGCTTCTGACTCACTGGGTAACCTTGAGTAACTCAATTAACTTTGCTGGGCCTATTTTCTCATCTGAGATATAAAATCACAAAACTGTCTTCCAGAAGTGCTTAATGCGGATTAGATTATCCCAGAAGGGAGAGCTAAATATGTGATTCCAGTTTACAGTGTTTGCAAATCCCCATGTATCCAAATAGGAGTCAGTGTTACTGTATTTCATGGTTTCCTCCTTAAGGGTAGTGGGCATTTATCTCTAAACCCTTTCCAATTTCCTGTAACCAAAAGGTGCTCCACTTGCTCCTTGAACAAATCTTTATTGAGCACCAGTTCTGTGCCCGGCCCTGTGCTAGGTTCTCAGGACACAAAGGTAAGCTGCTTACATTGGATAGCTTCTTGCCCCTTACACCTGGATTAGTGAAAAAGAATCGTAAATAGGCGTTTATAATAAAATGTTGAAAAATGCTACTAGAGGGAACGCATAAGTCACCGTGGGAGCATATAACAAGATGATCTGTGTTTGTTTGGTGGAGATAATGGTAGTCTGGGTGTAAATGTAGGGGGCGAAGGTGAGAAGGATGAGCTGGGATGGAGTGGCAATCCATGTAGGCTTCCCAGAGGAGGACAATATTTAAATAACCAAGAGTTAGCACTGGCAAGTTTGGAATGAAGATAAGAAAAGTTTTAGGCCATGTGAAGGATGCAGGAAGGCACAGGGTAAGAGAACATCAGTGTCATATTTAAGGGACTGAAAGAAGTTTTGTATGGTGGAAAGTAGTGACCGAGAGCAGAGGTGAGATAGGAACTTGCGAGGTAAACAGAGGTCTAAATGATCTTCTAAAGGAGTTAGGATTTTACCTTTAGTATGTGGGGGAACGGAAAAGGGTTTGAAATAAGAACAGTATGATCAAATTTGCATCTTTAATATATAACTGGCTGTAAAATCACTGGGGGCAGGGAAGATTGAAATCGGGAAGACCAAGTGAACAGGTATTTGTGAGAATGTGGCAGGCAGTGGGGTTACCTGGATGGAGTAGAGGTGGAGAGCTTGAAGATGAGGGGGCGGCTCCATGTCGTATCTTACGATGTAAAAATCTTTGGAACTTGGAGATTGGCTCTTAGGACGTAAAAAGGAAGGAGTTAAGAATAACTTTTAGGGGTTTTTTGGGCAGTTCATGGGTGGTTGTTACGCGACGAGATAAGGGAAAATTGATTATTCAGTTTTTGATAGTCTGAGTTTGGTGCCTTGAAATGTCAGATGGCAGGGTCAAGAATGGGGTTCGTGTGTGAGCTCAGAGGAGTTTGAACTGGACAAGCAGAATTTGGTGTCATCAGATCTGGTTTTCACACCATGTAGATGACACTGAAAGCCATAGGAGCAAGGGGAACTCCCAGGGAAATACGCAGAATGAAGAGGTGAAAGGGCAAGCCAGGGCCCTCAGGATCCGGACACACAAAGGACAGGCCAAGGATGAAAGTCCTGCCCCGAAGCCTAAGATGGAAAGAAAATAATTTCAGGAGAGCATGGAGCCATGAAGCTTAGCCAAGAATATTTCAATAGGAAAACAATCAATACAATTGAATACATTTTTGTTAAATCCCTGAATTCACTTGGCTAAGGGGTCTAGGCTTTAGAATAAAAGTTTACCAGGTGATGAATTGTGATTTCCTGTGAGGCAACTCGCATGCCTTTCTTTTCGCAAAGATCCACTGCTGAGCTCAGTGCCTCACCTTAGTAGGTACGCTGTAAGTTTTTGTTGACTTAATAAACAAATAAATGCCCCCATGCCAAGGCCTTATTTACATGGCACCTATTCCTGCTTCTCTCGAAGATCTGTCTATTAGAAAACAACCATCTCTGCCCCAGAGTTCAGTTTTTGTTTAAAAAATTCGGGGGCTACGTGCAGATTCTGTCGTTCCTGGGCACACACGCACCCCAGTCCCCGTGCTCTCTGCCCTGCTGTCCCTTTTCCCTGCCTCTCTGAACGTGGTGTGGAAACAAAGGGTCGAGCAGCGAGTGCTAGAAGTTAGGGGAATGAAAGAGGGTAAATGGGGGCGACGGGCAGCAGGGAGGGGAGTGTTTTCAGTCTTCTGAGAACCACAAACAATGGAGTCAAATGTATTTGACAGTGATTTTCACCATGCAGCTGGTAATTCCTCAGATTCTTCACTGGAGCTTAACATTGTCTGGCTCTGGTTATTTTGTGTGTGTTGTGTGAAGTTCATTTGCTCTTAGTTACATTGTGTGTGCTGCTCTTAAAAACAGAGTATTGGCTTTGACTATAAATGTGTGGTGCAGCATGTGTCCTATTTGCATATGGGTTTGGGGTACATTGAACAAGCAGATCCCTTCTTCAGCCCGCCGGAGATCAGCTGAAGCATTTTACAGAGACGTAAGAGGGCAATCCGTTTTTCCTGTTTAGCTGAGAAGTATCCAGGGGCTGACATTTTACCAGTGACGGCCTGTAGTGGCAGGTGCTGCTGTTGCTTTTGTTTTCATTTTAAAATTACCAAACTACCTCTCATTGATTTATTGCTTTTCTCAGCATTGGTTTGTGATTCCTGGAATGCAAATCATACAAAAAGAGTATCATGGTTAGAGGAGAAAAGCTTTAAAGAGCTACTTGAGACAGTCACTAAACAGTAGATACCTGGAGAACGCACATGGCCCTTCTCCCATGTACACTACAGTCATCTCACTCTTCATTTTATTTTAAATGAGATAAAACTAGCTTATTATGAATGTGATTTTTCTTACCCATATTCCTCTTCACTAGAAACAATATCCAGATCTATAAACTGGTGACAGTAATAATCCTGACTTCATAGCGGGGGATTAGCTTGGACAGAAGGGTGTACATCTTGGCTCCTGGCAGGGCCTCCGTAGATACTGATTCCCTGCCCTATTGGAGCCCTGTCTTCCCTCCTTCCCTGCCTTTCTCTTTTTTCACCCTCTCCCTCTGTTTTACCCTCCTCT